GGCTAGCTATCATACTCGATATAGCTAGCTAACTCAATAAAAGTGGTACGGATAGCTAGCTATCACAAGCCGATATTGCCCGATAACATATTTTTATAGCTAGATAATCTCAAAGATATTTTTTTGCTTGGGATAAGCCTTTTAATTGAGAACAAACGATTCTTTGTTTAAATGTCACTTTAAGTGGCATTTCCTCAGTCTAGAGCGAAAACATGTAGGTTACGTAACAAGCCTAAAGTTCAAAGTAAAAAAATACAGCTGGTGATAGGACAAATGATAGTTACATTAAGCAAGACACTATGATTTTTGTAAATGATGTCAGTTATATACAAATATGGAATGTTTAAGCAAAAATGTAGAACAACAACTTAAAACCTTTTCTTGTCATGCGAACTGTAATGTGAACTGTAATGATAACCATTAGGAAATGTTGTCATACGAGTCGTACCAGTTGTACCATCACTGTTAGTCCAATCTCTGATACTACTGTTACTAACAGAACCACCAACATTATTACCACTAAACCGTAAACCATTTAGCATCATTCCATGTGGATTATGATCAAAAAAAGGAAATGTATTTCCACCGACATCATCACCATAAGATGTTATACCAGAATTCTGTGAAATTGTCATCCCAGGAAAACGACAAATATCTGGTAACATTTTATTCGTAGGAAATGTGAAACCAATATTATCGTCATCACCCATATCAAAATCTGTAACATTGACTACTTGTATTGGTCTATTAGCGACACTGGTTTTGTCATGGTTTTGTGTGATAGGTGAAGATTCTTTCGGTGTTTTACGATTTTTGTTCCAATCAACAATTGGTGATGATGTATGATTATTATTGTCTTCACCTGTTTCTTTTAAATGCACAACACATAAACCACCTTGATGATGTAAAGCATCACTCTCAACTTGTAAGCATGTACCAGGCATAAGAATAATTTCATTTTCAATTGGAAAAGCTGAATAGCATGACACTAACTTCCCATTTTTACAATCAATTGAAAACAACGTTGAATTATGATCACCAATAAATTTTTTAATCATAGCAAGGTCTGATGAACATGAATTCACTGACCACCAAATAATTTCTTTACCTTTTTTATACGACTGACTAACATCGTTAGCCACACCACGCCATAGAGTTTGTTTTACTGATGGTAATTTATTCAAAGCTGTATCTAATAACTTTAAATATCCAAAATAGGGAATCAATTGCGCACGATCCTCACTGCGTAATGTTCGATTTAAATAACGATAAAAACTTTGATCGTTCATTTCCATTGTATATAAATAAATTGCGGCAATTTCATCATGCGTGATTGTTGTGCCTATGGGACATTGTTTGGGACAATATTGTTTAGCTATTTTAACATACCGTTCTAAATTAGGTATTAATTTAAGTAACGGTTCACAAGCAATATGTAATGGTTTTAATTCTGTTGATAAATAACCGTAGGCAGGTGGTAAACTTTTACTAGATGTATCAACATCCGTGTAGCGGTTGCTCATTTTTCAATTGGTGAAGAAAATATATATAAAAACTTCAATATGTCTAAAACAAAGAAAGAGATTACTAGCACAAAATGTTGTTAGTAAAACACATATATTTGTTTTCAGATTTTCGAAAATGATAGTTTGTGCCGTCTTTTGTTATGATAAGAATCTTGCCTTTTTATTTGTGTGTGATACTGCTCTGCATTCTTCTAAATCTTATATAGTTGGATTATACTAACATTCTGTTAGATGTATTACAGTCGATACATCAACATTATCGGGACGACAGATCCACCACGACTCTTCTACAAAATTTTTGAAAATAGATTTTATAGAAACTAGATTTTAGCAAAACTAACAAAACAACTGCCAAAAATACCAAATGTGTATTATGAAAAATTTGCATAAGAGTCGGGATCTTGTTCACGGAAACGTCTCACAGAAGTGTCGTTTACGGAAAAGTCGTGTCACCATTAAAGCCATATGATGAAAATGAAAACAATGACATTGAGCTGTTATTATTACTCGATAGAAGCAAGGAAAAAAAGAAATTTCTTTTGTTTGCCGTTCTTGAATCACTTTTGAATATGTACGAAAAGACAAAAAGAAAATAACTCATATTTATCTAAGATACGTCCATTCTCAAAAAACAACAAATAATATCTAGTAAAACAATAAGACAGAAAGTGTCTACAATCATAAGAATAGAGAAAGAAACACTTTCTATATCAATTCCTCTATACATGTATTATAAACCTATATTATATTTGGTTTCTTTTATATGTTTTGTTGTCTTATCAAATATTATGTTACAGCAAGTTTATCATATTTCTTTCTAAATATTGTTTTTTCTTTGCTTCTATCGAGTAATAATAACAGCTCAATGTCATTTTATTTTCATTTTCATCATATCGTTGTAATACAGCTAACAGAATTTTTTGAATCACTTGAGAATGGAAAAAGGTTGAGAGGCCGAGTTTTTACCATTTTGAAGTCCACACTTTAACGTATCTTCTCATAAACGAAAAAAACACCGAAAAACGTCTTTGAGAGTGTAGCTTTCTGAGAAACACTGTAAAAACGCTTAGCATTTCTAATTGGTCTGATAGGAACATATTCATTTTTTTACATAGGTAGATAGTCTAAAGTGTCCTTCTCAGATGAAGAATTCTCCGACCTCTTCATCTGTGATTGCTTATGTGTGGTATTCGATTTTCTCGGCGCCCAGAAACTGGTGTCTAGTCGCTTGTGGTAGTCCAGAAATCAGGTGAAACACAGGTTATCGACCAAGCTGAGTCTCGTGGCAATGCTTGTTTTCGTACAAAAGTACAACAACGTAGTACAACTCGACTTTAGGTTAAATAACTCATCTTCGGCTGATGACTCTCACAAAGGAAAAACTCGTCACTCCAAATCAATTCAGAAAATCCCAAAATTTTATGCAAATATGTCTGCTTTTTGCAGAAAAATTATCAAAAAAGCAAACTTACAGATGCTATAAAAACTCGATCTCTTGTAGGCATGTCCATTTGGTACATTTCAATAATTTGCAACAAATTCAATGTATCTTTAACCAAAAGTTTATGGTGCTTTAGCGTCTCCGACAAGTGTGCAAAAAACAATTCAGATTAAATCAATTTGCCTTATGCGAAACCAAACCAGTGTTAATCAATGGTCGTGTACCTAAAGCTAATCACAAATGGTATTCAACATATCAAGTGTATTATCATC